CCTTGCCGCCCCAAATTCGTCCGGACCAGGATTCAGGGAGGCGGAGGGAGTATGCTTGGTTGGGGAGGAGGAGGAAGCCTCCGCGAGCGAGGATGGGCTTTCCGGCGCTGGGCTGGATGCCGGGCCAAACGGGTTCTTTGCATTTGTTGAAGAGGGCTAAGGTGGCGGAGTTGGCCACGAAGAAGGTGGAGGCCAGCAGCGCGGCGAGAAAAGAGGCAATGCCGTGGAGATCTTGTAAGTTTGAGGACATTGCTCGCTGTTGCTGCTGCTCGCTCTCTCTCTCTCTCTCTCTCTCTCGCCCTCGCTCCCCTGTTGCACGGCAATAGAGTGTGCGGAGAGAGTGGGTCGCCTTCTTATTTCTGCTTGTCCGTGATTTCCCGTCTTTTTAATTGGGCAGGTATGTAATATTGTTGTAAGCTGAGGAGCTATTCAAAACGGTAAACTCAGTTTGTTATGTACCATACATGTACCATACAGCCAGTGTAGTAAAATAGCATGTACCATACAGCCAGTGTAGTAAAATAGTAAAGTAGATTGATGGAAGGGTAACACTTTGGATGCAATTAGGATTTAATTTGAATTGGATTTATTAAATGAGCAACTCTCCTGGCCTAGATGATGGCAATAGATTGAACTGGCATGTGGATTGATGTGGCACTGTCACATTAATGACATCTAGGCAGCTTATACTTATGTCGTGGTACAAATACAGTCCGTCTCATAAGTGTAAGCAAATAGTGGAATGATTATTGTTTTATTAACTTTTTGACCTTTAAAAGAGGTGGCTTAAGTTGCCATTAGAGTTGGAAAAATTTAGATTTCAAGCCTTAGGCTATTTGTATAAAACATTATTCCCCTTCCAATGAGTTTATATTTAGTAGGAATCAATTAATTTTAAACATAATTAATATATTATATTAAATAGGAGCATACCTATTATTTACCCTCTCTCGAGTGCATAAAGAACATTACTTAAACCAGAGTTAACCTCTAAACCCATTGTTAGACTGAAAAGATACTAGCTGTCACCCTAGCGTTCTCACTTATCCCTCACCTGAAGGCTAACATCTCGCTTTAATTTCCAAACATCTGGATCAAATTAGAAATTTTAGTTTATAACTCTAAAACTTCTAATTCTACGTCCATCAAAACTTATTTTCCTATTTATAATCTAATTCTACGCCCATCAAAACTTATTTTCCTATTTATTTGCACTTAACCTCGTTGACTACATTCTTATCCATGAGATTAAATATGATTCTTATTTTGTTGAGGAAAACATAGCCATTTTTTGGGTCATTATGTTTCACAACAGATTTTAACAAATCAACTGGTCAGATCGATAAGTAAATTAAGCATGGATTTTAAATCATAAAAATTTTTAGAATTAAAATCATTTCTACTAAACTTCATTCCTACACATAATTATTCCTCATTACAGACTCCTCATTACAGAGAAAACGACAAAAGAAACTACTCAGATCTCATGGAGAAAAAACAGAGAAAATGACAAAAGAAACTACTCAGATCTCATGGAGAAAAAACAACAACATATGGATTTATAAATAAATATAAGTTTACAAAACAAGACTAAATAAAGTAAACCAAAACTTATCTCAAACTTCTTCCCAAGCAATCATTCTAATTCCTTTATATCACTCACTCTCCTCACAATTCTACTTCAATCTCACTTAGAACTGTAATGAAGAAGATAACTCTCACTTCTCATCTTCTCCTCCAAATCTAAGCAAGCTTCCAAGACTTTTTCCTCTTTAAGAAGGCTACTATTCTCTCTAAAAGAAATCTCCATCTCTCCCTCCAGACTCCCCTTTAAATCTCCAGAAATCTCTTTAAATAGTGGTCTCAAAATCACGAAGAGTTGCTTCAAGCACCTCTCCAAAATTCGTCCACTTTCATTGAACCTTCTAGAGTAACCGCCTCTGGTGCTTAGGCACCAGATCCTGGCTCATAGGCGCTAGGTTAACATTGGCCACTTTGCTTCCTTTGACTCTAACTTCCTTTTTTTTTTGTTCCATTTGCTCCATTTAGTGTACCTACAACCAAAAACATCAAAAGTATCTTTCATTAATGCACAATAATAGTAAAAATATAAATTAATTGTAAAAATAAAAGTAACATATTTTAGACATGTCAAAATTCCCCAGACTTAATTGTTACTTATCCTTAAGTAACTTATTTCTTTTGAAAAATTAAATATGTTAACATGTGTTAGTGGATTTCATTAAAGGCCTTTATAGTTTTGTCTTATAGATGTGTTAGTTATGACTTTAGAAAAATTCTAGTTATTTAGGCTACAAATAGGGCATAAGAATATTTTGTAATCAAGTCCAGAAATTCTAATTTTCTATTCATTTCAAAAATTAATTATAGTTTGAAAAACATAGGAATCTCAGAAAAATAATAGATTGAATTTGAGAGAATCCTACTAGTAAAGGTAAACTAATACTTTTACGAAATAAAAGCTCATAACTATAATAAAGCCTCTGTCTTTAAGATGATTCAAGTCTAAGATGATTCAAGTGAAGACAATTTTTAATTAGGCATCTCTTAAGATGATTCAAGTGAAGACAAATTTTAATTAGGCATCTCCTCAAGCTTCTCCTCATTTTCACATATACTTTTCTTTTCTTTTTTTTCTTCCTTTTTTTTTCTATTCATTTTACTTTCAGGATCATTTTTCAATCTTTTCTTTTCTTTTTCTCTGTGAGGATTACTATATCTAAATCAGTCTTTAATGACTTTTAACTTCACTATTCTCCTCTTAAAGTTAAAAACACTTCACATTTCCTTACATTGATAATTTGTATTAGTTTTTTAAAATAATTTTTCATAGCATCTCAATTCTTTAAAATATAGATCTAAGATCCTCAATATTTCAAAAAAATATTTTTTTTTTACTTGAAATAGTAAATCATATCCCTATTCTCTTTTACTTGTTATCTTAATTCTAAGAATATCCTTTATTGATCCAGGAAAATATAGTTGTGTAAAATTTATAAAGTTAACTCCGCTTTGCAACGACTCCAAAAACTTAATGTGGTATTTTAGGAATATTAACGTTAAACACTTAAAGTTATGATTCTACGTAAGTATATGTATCGTTATCAAGTAATGTAAAACTTTTTTTTTAAGTCCCAAATATCGATCCCACGAGGAAGGTTTAAATTTGAAATGATAAATTAACTAGAAAATTCGCAGAAATCAATCAAAATTATTGTCACTAATTTCGAATGTTTAAGATACCATCAAAACTAAATTATTTAATAATAGCAGAATTTAAAAAAAAAGATTTAAAATTAATAACTACTAAACTATGTTTTTGTGATGAAATTTTCTAATATGAAAAAACAACTTTCCCACTACAATGAGTTTCTGGTGAAATGAGATGAGGTAAATGGTTTAGATATGTATTGTGCCAAATAGGAGCAATTTTAATTCTCTACCCTGATTCAGTGTTATAGAAAATCATTGGTTAATCTTAGGGTGTAGTCCTAAATCTGTGTTTAGGCTAGGAGGATATTGACTCTCACTCTAGAGCTCCCACTTCCCTTCCCTTGAAGGCTAACTCTCGCTTCATCCTAGAAATCTCCAATTCTACACCCAGCAAAGTACA